AAGTCGCGGGTAACAGCTAAAATTATATATATAACTCTTCTGTTTAAATACATGAATAAACGATCGAAATTTCACCTTCCTGGTGATTTTATGAACTTTATAACTCAAATAAACCTAAATGATTTTTTAGTATTAATTAGAATACAATAAAATTAATGTAATTATTGTAAAATGATGCTACTTAAGTATAGTCTTGACTTAATCTTTTAAAATACTTTGTCTTCTTAATTGCTGTATTTTTTGATTATAATCGCGATTAAATTACCCATCTAGGTCTTCATATTAGTTACAGGAATGCCTTTTACTGTATATTTTTGTTTTTTTAATTTGCTAACAATTATAGTTGTTACTTAATGTTATATACCTATATACAGGGTATTAAAAAAGTATACAGCATCCAAATGGTAGATAGTACACACCATACTGAGTAAAAAAAATCTTAGTAAACAGATCGAAAACTCGTCGTTTCTAAGATATTAACAGTTTTTATATGCTGGCAACATGATTGACTTACCGGCTTCTACATGTCGCTTGCGACGTGAAAGATAGAATAATCTTTCCAAATCTTTTCCTCGATATTTACGGAAGGTGCTCCACCTGTTCTACTTCCATTTCCGTGCACTCCTGGCATTTTAGAGTCTCGAATTCTCAAAAATTCTATGTTTTTGTCGAATTGTTTATCTCAAAAGATTGCGCTTTCGAGCTGTACTTTTCCTTTTTAGCTCAGTTCAGTGCGCATTATCTACCATATAAATGCTGAATACTTTTTAAACACCCGTATAAGACATATTAAACGTATCATAGTTTTATAAAGTGAAAAATAACCTAAAATTTTGCTGAACTGCAAACAATTTTTTGTTTGAGAATTAACTTACAAAAGTAAATTTGATACACTAATAGTTTTTTACTTATAGCAAATTTATAATAGTTAAATATACAGTTTTAAAAATTTAATTTTATATTTCTTTGTGTTTACACTCCTATTTTAATGTTAAGTTTAAATTTAAAAAAATTTTTTAAATGTGTGTCTTTATGATATTCATAGCAACATATAGATAATAGTTTAATAAAATTATCAAAATATAAAATGAATACTGTATTTAGTTTCATTTATTTCTTTTGTAATCTCTG